ATTTATAGTATATTTATCCATGTTATTATTAATTCCAAAAATCACAATATTGTCACTATCCTGTTACAATATTTGAAATTCCAGGTACACAATCTATACTGCGGCAAACAAATAGATAAGCAAGCGCGAGACATTTTCTTCGAAGGCACCATGAACGACGTCCACGAGAACTTCCAATCACTGATGACATACTGCGCCGGTGACGTCATAGCTACGCATAATGTGCTCAAAGAATTGTTACCGCTGTTTCTAGAGAGGTTCCCTCATCCTGTTACGTTGGCTGGAATGTTGGAGTTAGGTACGATATGAACGGCCACTTTTGAAAAGAAAATAATCTTGTATTAAGAGTCTGTGCTACCGCCAATGGGATTGGTTGATTCAGAATAACAGTGAATGTGTTGAATCAATGACTTTGGAAAAAATATATAGTATAATCTCAGTACAGTGTACTAAAAAAACCGACCTCAAAAGTACGTGGAATTACGGCTATTTGCTAAGTTTTATTAAAATATCCCCTAGTTCGCCACTATATAGGACTTGACACTGGAGATAATAATAATCGGTTCTCACTACGACACTACTCAAAGTATAAACGCTTTGAATGGGAGAAATAGCAAAATCAACCATTAAAGTAATTGCTCCTAAATTAAAGTGATTAACTGCCTAAATTAACTGCCTCCGTGGCCGAACGGTTACCATGCCGGACTGCCACGCAGAGGTCCCACGTTCGATTCCCGGGCCGGGAGAAATGTTTGTATGTCCTACATTTATTTCTCTCGTGAGTTTGGGTGTAATTTGTGGTTGTCTATATGTGTGTGTCCATGGCACCCGCGAGACAGGGTTTCCCTAGTGCGGGGCTATGTTGAGTGTGTGCGTTATTTATTTATTTATTTATAAAGTTAGGCGCTATTTATAAAAATGAATCTTCATGCGTGAACAGCCACCCTTCGAGGTGGATGATTTTCTTCAAAATGGGATCACTACGGAAGTGCCCCCTTTCCAACAAAAAAAGAATCATGAAAATCGGTTCACAAATACCGGAGTTATCGCGTAACATACATACAAAAAAAAATACATACAGTCGATCGATTTGAGAACCTCCTCCTTTTTTGAAGTCGGTTAAAAATTGAGGATATACTCTGATTAATTACTATACGGTGTGAAAACACGATTCTGATAAAGATTTTCACATTATAACACAAACTTACCACTATATTCAATAGGTACGTTACAAATACCATTGTTTCTTTTTACGTCATCTGAACTACACTACATAGAACACGTATAGGGTATGATATACCTACATTTTTAAAATGGCATTAGTTTCGTTTGTAAAAAAGTAAATTTTGAAATAAAGCCAGTGTCCCAAGCAAAATTAACCGTATTAGTACGGGAAAAACTTTAATTCGAGCTGAGGTAGTATCAACTCTTAATTGAGTATATCATTGGTGTTTTGTGGAAAGGGCGTAAGAGACATTTCAAAAAATTTTTCACGGGAGCATGTCTTACGTTCTCACGACTGTTTTAAAATGTTTATGTCATATTTTAAACGCAATTTCAAAACTTGAACTTTATTAAAACCAAAATTGGAATACAGTGAACGTATACTGGGTTGATCTTGGATGGTTGGTAGGTAATTCTGACGCTTATCATGTTTCAGGGTCTGCATATCTGCCAGTAAACTCAAATTGGCTGCAATATATAGATTCAGCAGAAACGGTATTTGAAGATCTGAAATTGGAAACGCGGCAACTGCTTTCTTTGAAAGCGGACGAAGCGTGCCGGCTTATGGAGAACGACGCTTACAAGAAGGATTTGTGGATGTGGGACCAAGATTGGTCTACTCAAAGTTTAAAATTAAAAAAGACTGTTCCAAAAAAGAAATCTATTATTCCAGAACAAATAACCAACAATCAGAGTGATAATTTTGAAAATCGAAAACCAAAAGACAAAACCAAAGAGTTCAAAACTCTTAGCGAAGAGTATATTGATACCATACAGTACAAACCGGATTCGAATAATAACGATGAAGATCTGAGCAAAGAATTTGATTATTTGTATGAGTTGGGTAAAGCTTTGCCGGTGAAAAGGCCGTATTTGGCTGGTTATCCGGCGTGGTATAGAAAACTGTGCACTAAACCTGGTAAAGACCCGGATTGGATACCAGGAGCTAATAACCTTACCACTAGTATGCAGGTAATAATAATGTAATTTATGCCAAACAACCACTCATTACCTGGTCTCAAACTAGGGAATTTCCTGTACTATGAGTACCAGAGTAACGTACATACCCAGAACACCCAGATCATAACCAATTTAGTAAAGTTCATTTTCGAAATTGGTCTTATCGGGTAATTTAAATTAAATCACATGTTCGTCAAACTCGGTGTCGAAACGACTAGCACTAGTAGCCTGGTGGTAAGCGACACGCCTGTCCAACAGTTGCAGCGCCACTTATAGCTGCCGTTGCGCCCGCCACCCTAAGACGTAAGTTGATAAGTCCGTCCTGTATTTTCACCAGCACAAAAAATTTGTAGGCAACATGATGTGATCAGACAAAATGAGTGTGTAAGAAGCAGACGATCGGTAACGTACAACACGTGTCGATTATCACAGATATCGAGCATATCTGTAGGTACCTTTACATACTATTAATTTTATGTTAATTCACAGATAACACCAAAACTTCTCCGTTTATCGTGGGAAGGCTATCCCCTCCACTACATCCAATCCGAGGGGTGGGGATTTTTAGTGCCGTTCAGTCGACAACGAGACGCCGAGGTGGAAGGACCTCTGTTACCTTTAGAAGAGTTGTTGGAATCATGCCCATTGGTTCAATGCAAAGAAACTGAAGACAGTAGTGATGTTTGCATCTTGCCAAAGACTGTAGAGGTATGATCAGAGCATTGTCACATCTATAGTCGTCACAAAATAAGAAGCACCTTTTGACACTTTTTTTAAAATAATTATTAATACAAAGATCGAACACTCAGAAAAAATTTCTTCGATCCGGCCGGATCCGAACCGACGTCTTCTAGCATACCTTCTGGCAGACGTTATACCAACAAAGCTACGGAAGGAACCAGCGGATCTCACGAATTTCTATGTGCTTGTTGTTGTGTCTTTGTATTTGGTTTTATCAACGACTTTTGTAGCCGTAGCGCATCTATGAGAAATCTATGAAAGTATTTCGTCACCCAGTTAGATACCTTTACAGCTACCAGCCCCGGCTAGAGATGTCGCTATTCACTGTATTTTAAATTTTTATTAAATTGATATTCAATTATTTTTTTATGTTAATTTATTTTATTAAGAGTTTTGGCTTGGATACAAGTCCTTTGAGCGATGTTTTGGTTTGTTATCGGAACCCTCAGGAATATTTTCCATTGTGGTTCTAATACTTTGGGTTTTTTAAATAGTCTTAAGCGGCGGGAGTCAATACTTATGTTTCGCTTTCACTTAAATCACGTTATCTTCTATCACTTTGAACAAAAACTTTGAATTAGTAATTATTACAATTTTTAGTCTTTTGTAATTTGGTTGAAAATAAGGAATATAGTTCTAACTTTCTTCATCATCTTTTCTTCATAATATACTTAAAATAATAATAAATTTTGTAAAAGCTGTTTTTGTAACTTCAAGCCTTCAAGCCCGCCATTTTTTCCCTTTTGACACTTTACATCGCAACGTAAATAGGATTGTGAACTGAATATGTCGGTAACCATATTAAACGATTCTCACGACAATTCGATTCGAAATTTTGTAAGTCTGTAATCGGTTTTTGATCTAGTTTTCAGTTCTAGACAGAACAATTAATATTTATTTTATTATAACAATATAGAGTTTATCGAGTTCTTAGGTTTTCGCGATTGTTACACATAGGAAATGAAACTATTTTTCCGGATTTAAATCGCGTATATTTGTTTTTTCAAACAAACCGACGTTTCGGGCCCTTTACTTTAAATGTTCAAAACCTGTAGTTTAATTAACAAAGTTCACAAGGTCAATCTGTAGTTGAATCGGAGGGGCACTGTGCCCGTCATCCTGAGACATGAGTTGACAAGTCCCATGTGCCTGTAACTTCACCAGCACCCTTACCGTTTAAAACCGTAACACAGTAATGCTGATATTACTGCTTGGCGGCAGAAATAGGTAAGGTGGCAGTACTTCCCTGGACGAACTCTTTCACAAAGAGATCTACTGGCACTAGTCGTTGCTTGTAGCCGAGTGGCACAAGTTTTAGTCTAGTGCTACTTAACTGTAACACCAGCCCCCGTAGCATGGCAACGCACGATAGTCGCGATAAAATTTGGCTATTGGCTATCTAATAATAATAATAATAATAATAATGCACACACTCAACATAGCCCCGCACTAGGGAAACCCTGTGTCGCGGGTGCCATGGACACACATAGAAAACCACACATTACACCCAAACTCACGAGAGAAATAAATGTAGGCCATACAAATATTTCTCCCGGCCCGGGAATCGAACCTAGGACCTCTGCGTGGCAGTCCGGTATGGTAACCGTTCGGCCACGGAGGCAGATCTAAATTAGATCTGATTGAGACAGCCAATAGCGCGCGCTTATTTCAATTTTCTCGCGCGCGTCGCGACTATCATGCTACGGGGGCAGTAATAGAAAGTGACAAAAATGAAATTGTCTCTGTCGCTCTTGTAAAATAGTTCACTAGTGTGTTAAGGGCGGTAAATAAATGAACGAGACTCTATTAGAAGCCCGAAGTCGAAGGGCTTTCGTAGTTGAGGCTCGTAATTCCCGTACCGCCCGTATGCAATGTTTTTCATCACACTTGCACTTAAGCATGCAAGTTAACTTGACTGTAATACCCCAAATAAAATCCTCGATCCTTTTTTCTTCACATTACATTCTTGGTCGGTAATGAAAAGAAAAAGGCCCGAGGATTTTATTTGGGGTATTATAGTCAAGTTAGCGACCAATGCAATCATACTATTTACGAGCAAGTGTAATGAAAAAAACTTTATTACAGTTAGATAAAATGTGGTTTTCAGGAGGATTTAGGCCGTCGAGCTTATTACGCCAGGAAGAAGTTGGACGAGCAAGCAGCAGCAAACAAGTACCACGGGCTTGGTGTTTGGTGCGGCGTTCAGTTGCAAGGTAAATAAATGTCCGTAGATTAATAATAATTTAATAAAAGAATAAATTTTCACATCACTAGGACAAAGTGTAATAATGATAATGTAAACAATCATAACCCTGCACTAGGGAAAACTTTGTATAGCAGGTGCCACGGACACACACATGGAGACCCACAAATTACACCCATACTCACGGGAGAAATAATTGTAGGCATTACAAATATTTCTTCCGGCCCGGGAATCGAACCCGGGACCGCAGCGTGGCAGATCGGCAAGGTTCGGTTCGGCCACAAAGGCAATATTTTTTAAATAATAATACCTAAATTATAGTACCAGCAAAGCTTCTTGTGAAAGAGTTCGTCCAGGGAAGTACTGCCACCTTACCTATTTCTGCCGCCAAGCAGTAATGTGAGCATTACTGCGTTCCGGTTTTGAAGGGTAAGGGTGCTGCTGAAATTACAGGCACACGAGACTTGTCAGCTTATATCTCAGCGTGACGGGCGCTGTGGCCGTGCCCCTAAGATCTTTTAAAGCTCTGAGTGGCACTGCAACTGCTATGGATAGGCGTGTTGCTTGCCACCAGACGACTTGTTCGTCCCGTCACTTGGTATGATAAAAAAAGTCGAGCGCCTGATGGTAAGCGACACGTCTACCCACAACAGTTGCAGTGCTAGTCAGAGTTTTAGTAGTAGTGCCCCTCAGGTTTTAAAACCTACAGGTCCCATGGTCACGGTCGACTCAACAACAACAGTTAACCGTGACCATGGGACCTGTAAAGGGCCCGAAACGTCGGTTTGTTTGAAAAAACAAATATACGCGATTTAAATCCGGAAAAATAGTTTCATTTCCTATGAATTGATATTAATTTTTTTTTGTGAAATTACTCCACTAGTTTGTTGTAATTATTAATACAAAGATCGATAAAAGATCGAGAATATTTTTTTGTTATGCAAGGCTGCAAAGTTGTTGTTTGACGCGAGTGCTTGTAATGACACCTGAGCAAGCGAAGGAAGCTAAGATTAAAAAAAAAAGATTCCTGAGCGTAGCGAGGGTTTCAAGGCACGAGACGCAAAACAATTTTGCTGCCGAGCGAAATACACAACTTTTCACAAAATGGTAGTTATAGGAAAACAGTTGAACTATAAAACATCAGTTTTTTATATAAAAGAAAAAGTTTATCTTCGGATGCGTTCTGAATTTACACCTCATAATTTTTTATTCTTGCTTGTACTTTTATTTTGTGTGATTAAGTGATTATTTAAATTATTTTATCTCTTTCACGAATTAAAATAATTTTCACTTCTCATGCTCTTAAAGTTCGTATTTATGCTGGGTGTAGGGTGCATAAAATAAAATCGTCGTTTAAGACCGAGGCAATGACGCCTTTTTTTTGTTAATCCGGGGGAATCTGCTTACAGATACCCCGGCCCCGCGGGGGCAGAGCCGGGGTTATGTGGGACTGGGCTGAACCCTGAACCCCCGGAGTGTTCCTCCTCTCCGCTGTAGGTGGGGGTACGGGTACGCTGTTGCACTCGTCCGCGCCCCCACCAGCGGCTGGCCGCGCCCTGCGCAGCCCCTTCCCGAGAAGGGAGACACATCGGTCCCCCGACTCCGAATGTGAGGCTCGCCGAACACCAGACGAGCCTTCCATCCCGGGCCCCTCTATGCTGGGCAACGAACTCCCCCAAGCCCGCTACCCAGGGGCCATGGGGGGCCAGGACTGCATCCCCTCAACTGTGAAGTTCAGTGGCTCCTCCCCCAGCCCCCGCGGCGGATCTGATGGCAGGCTTCGCCGCAACACCTAACGCGCTTCCGCGCGGACTCTCCGAAGAGCGCCCACCACGGGCCAACCGCCCACGTTCGGCCGCAGAGGATAGGACGAGCGGTAACGACACATCGACACTTCTCTTCACCCGCGGCCCCGCCGCCACTGCATAATCGAAAGCGGTGCAGCCCCGCCAGAGTCGCGGAGGACAGGACGAACGGCAACGACACACCGACACGTCTCTCCCTCCGTCCGACCCTCCTCCCGGTCCCGTTGACCAGACGAACCCCGCGCGGAACGCCCTCCTCCTCGGGCCAGCCTACCACCATCGGCCGGCCCCGTGGGTTCCTCTTAGCTTCACCGTGGGATGAAATCGACCACGGCTACTAGAGCCCCCCCGCCACGACAAGGCGTCAACCCCTTCGGGGGGAGGCAATGACGCCTGCGCCAACAGCCACGCACACTAGAACTTTATAAAATAAAGTTTTACTTTTGTTTTTTTCATCCGTGTTATATTACAAAATTAAAAAGTAGGCAATAGTAATTCTAATAAGTTATAAGAAATAGAAATGCATAAAAAATAAAAGCTTGTAAAATATAACTGAGCATTATGTAGTCCGACCTGAGTCACGTGCAGAAAAAAAAGTAGTACATTGGCGGAAAGCTCTTATTTTTTCTTGTCAATAGTTGTGTTATCGTTTATTTGTAATATTGCTGTTTAATTTCCTCGCAATCGACGTGAAAAGCAGAGTGTATAACTCGTTCATAAAACTCATTTCACCCTCGACTTAAGGATATAACCGTTTCGGTTAACATGACGCGTTTTAACCACTTGTTGTACAATCTACTATTAATATACACAAATAGTTAACATTCTCAATTTAATATCAACCATAATAAGAATAAAATATAGCGACGAATTTATATTGCGTAAATAACTAATGTACGACAAATCGCGTAGTTGAAATCGAAAGGAAAAGTTTGGTACACCACATCACGGTCCATCGTCAAGTTCGAATTTCAAAAACCTTTTCCAAAACTTGCTAAAAAGGCTTTTTCTAATGAGAAAGAAAGCCTTGCCGAGTTAGTGAGGTGAAAATATTTTTTTTTTCCATTTTCTTTTTGATTATATTATGATATGATTCAACTGTACACGAATATCGAATCCAGTTGTTTCATTATTGCATTTAACCTCATAAGGCCCCATGTACATAAAAATGTACATAATATGTGAAGTGATTCAGCTCCGGAGAATATTATTCGTATAATCACGTAAACAACCAGTGTATATTATAATGAATGTCATATTCCATATGACCACAACCCTATGGTGTCTAGAAAATACGTTTTTCATTCAAAACTCAGGCCATACTTGTATGGGCCCGAAGTATGTAATTAGACTTACGTCTCAGGGTGACGGGCGCAATGGCAGCGCCCTTCAGATCTTTGCAATTTAAAGCTCTGGCACACGAGTTGTTCGTCCCGTCACTTGATGTTATAAAAAAAAATAATGCATTTTAAGGTACATTGGGCGTTTAGCGATTATTTCATTGCAGTCTGGGCCTTAGGAGGTTAAATTTATCTGTAAATACTGTAAAAAAAAAAAATAATTTTGTTAAATAGCAACTGTTGTTTTCGGATCTAAACCCTTGTATTTGTTATTTCAAACAAACCTATATATATAATACATAAATTAATTATTTCGTATTGTCAGGTTGTGCTCATTTTCTACGACTTCCTCATAAAGACGGGCCCAAGTACAAAGTGGGTAATCCATTGGCAAAGGACTTCTTGGAGATGTTCAGTCAAAACGTTCTTTCTGCACAAGGAAATGAAGCGGAAAAGGTATGGACAAGTGCATCTCGTAGATTTTAAAACTTTCGTGATTATTCACTGAAGGATTATCATTAAGTAATATTAATCAACTCTAACTAAAAATCATTAAGTAATATTAGTAATAATGACCAACTTAAACGACTTCTTAGATTCTTAGATTGTATACTTACCTTTTTGAAAACTAAATAAATAAATTGTAACAGGGTGGGAGCCTGGAGATTGTAACACCGGTCTAGTTACCTAGTACGAACTCCAGACTCTCGCTTAAGGTAGCTAACTTTAGTCATTATTAAGTCTTGTTTAACATATAATTATAATGTACAATCTTCCTTATGTGAGAGTGAATAAATAAATAAATAAAAAAATAAAATAACTTCTTAGTAATAAGTTTTTTAATTCTTCTTGTTGGAGTGTAATTCTTTTCCTTTTCTTTGGACGAATTTCTCTTTTTAATCATATTGTTTTCTAAATTTTTTCCTCATTAATTGTGCACAGACCAAACATAAAGCTTATTTATTATCTGTGGAAGCTTGTAATTGGCCGTCTGTATTTATTTTTTTGTATGTACTTGTACCTAGCTGTTAGTTTCCCTACAAATGTAAAATAAAATAAAATAAGTCTTAATTTATATTGCGGCGGAACGGAATGAAAATAAAAATAATATTAACTAATAAATTTCAGGTACTGACTTTCGGTAGAATGATGTCGTATTGGCGCAACAACCGCGAACGCATAATGGGCCAGCAGGTAGTGTGGCTGCCCAAAGAATTGTTACCCGAATATCTACGTAGCTCCATGCGGCGTTACGGCGCTATCGTGCCGCAAGTTGTCGTTTGCGGCACTTTGACTCGCAGGTGATATTTCTTTGCCTCACTTTCTCAAACCCGTATCGTAAAGCACATATTAACTGAAATAAAAAAAATGCATTGTATCATTGACTTACAATTATATGGACGTCGGGTCCGCGCTAAAAAGTGTCCGAATTTATAGGGCGTTAAAATCGTGTACAGAGCGTCATTCACGCTTTAGTCTTCGTTTGTTCGACTGACAGCGAAGCAAACAAAATTAGACAGTACTGCGATGACATTACAATTTAAATTCAACGTTTTAGCCTTTTCATTTTCCTTTACATATCACTACGTTTAAATAGGTTGACTTGGGACATTTTTTTCGTGGTTTTTGTATTAGACCCGTCGTCCATTTATTTGTAAGTCAATGCATTGTATGTACAAATTTTGCAGACTAATTTCACATAACATTTCCTTCTTATTCACACACTGGATTTTACTTATTTTTAAAGTAACACATCCAAATTAATACTCTTAATAAGAAATTTAAAATAAATAGAAATATTTGCCGTCTCCTGAATAATCACTCTATAAGACACAAGTTTGAGAAAATAAGGCATCGATTTAGAATATTTATATCAAATGTCAGAACGAGTCACATATTTATTTCTTTTTAACCGACTTGAAAAAAAAGGAGGAGGTTCACAATTGGACTGTATTTTTTGTATGCATGTTACTCGATAATTGGCATTTGTGAACAGATTTATATGATTCTAATTTTGTTGGAACCTCAGTATTGGCCCTATACAAAATTTGAAGAAACTATTCCACTTCTAAGGATGGCAATCCGGTTTCGCGCACTTTCCGGTAACCGATTTTGATAAAACTTGGCAAATAGATATAACTCCACGTGTAACTTTTGAGATTTTATAAAAAAACTTATAATTTTAAATTGTACTCTCTGATATACAAACCGAGATACACAGTTATAATCTGTTTAGTAAAGTAGATCTCCTTTTGAAAGAGTTCGTCCAGGGAAGTACTGCCAACTTACCTATTTCTGCCGCTAAGCAGTAATGTCAGCATTAATGCGTTCCGGTTTTAAAGGGTTAGGATGCTGATGAAATTGCAGGTACATGGGACTTGTTAGCTTATGTCTCAGGGTGACGGGCGCAGCGACAGTGCCCCTCAGATCTTTGCTATATAAAGCTCTGAGTGATACTGCAATTGTTATGGACAGTCGTGTCGCTTACCACCAGGCGCACGACTCGTTCGTTCCGTCACTTGGTATTGTTAAAAAAAACAATCAACTGCCTTCGTAGCTGAACGGTTTCCAGACTGGACTGCCACGCAGCGGTCTCGGGTTCAATTCCCGGGCCAGGAGATATGTTTGTACGATCTACATTTATTAGATTTTGGGTGTCATTTGGTTCCTACAATGTCTTTGTTGAAAATCCAAATTTTCAACAAAGACATTGTAGGAATGACGTTTAGTACTTAAAATAATAACGCATAGAAACCTAGTCCGCACACGCTAAGTGAGGCAAATTGAAGCGCGCCAAAAGGGCCTACACGAGCAGTCGAGCCGTCAGTGCTCAAGGTCAACTTGCACCGCGAACAGCTCAAGAATTTTAGCTAACAATGACGAAATGTGCGGTAAATGAGTGTAAAAATACGTCAGACAAACATAAAATAGATACTAACATCACATTCCACAAGAAAGTAACGCGTTTCAACTTGTATTTTTATATAAATATTCACTAAAACCGAAAATTAACCTACTACTAAAACTAGCCTACATGAATTTGATTTTTGCCTCACTTGTGACAGTTCGTTTGATATGAAACTATCATTCTAAGCGTTATTATTCTAAGGTTTAGTATTCATTTTAAGCCCAGAGCAATAGTGAAATGCAGAAAATGCAAGCTGGCTCGAATGAACCGTGTCGGCAGGGCCAGCGAGCCGACGTGGATGACGGCCAGCAACGCGGCGCGCACGCGCATCGGCTCGGAGCTGCGCGCGCTGGTGCAGGCGCCGCCGGGACACAGCTTCGTCGGCGCCGACGTCGACTCGCAGGTCCGTGCCCCCTTTTGTGGGTGCCACTTTCAATCGTCTCAAGTGCCTGTAGTATCACTAACACTATCCGCTGGCATTCGTTCCGAATCCAAGATTATACAAATCTAGAACACTCGGAACAACTTCGGATGTCCCTTGTGCACTAAGTCCGATTTGCATCCGAGAAAATGTGCATATCGCTTGTACACCTATAGACAAAATGATTACTGTGAAATTTCAGACCGTCATTGCTCGGATTCGTATCAGGGGGTCTACTCTCAATCTCCGTCCGACATCCGTCCGAAAAAAGAACTGTCAAATCGACGCCTCCTACGTAAAGTATCGTATGTCGAAATTGCCAAGTTTACAGGGGAGCGTTTTAAAGTTCTCAATTTACTGAAATGAGTACAATACGTGACTTTAGCATTTCTCAGTTTTATTCAGCAAATCTCGTTACTCACATAGAGTATTATAAAATCCTAGATATCGGTTAGATGATCTATGGTCTTTCATTCGGAAATTTTCATTCAATCAGAAATTCAGAACTTTAAAACGCTCCCCTGTAAACTTGGCAATTTGGACATACGAAACTTTACGTAGGAGGGGTCGAAATAAGTAATAGTCGACCAAATTAAAAGAGGCGTGCTGCGAATGAAGCTTCATACTGGATACTTGTCTTTTAATTTTGTCGAATATTAGTAGTTCGCAAACGCTGCTACCCTTCAAAACTGGAACACATTAATGCTGATATTTATGCTAGTAGCAGAACTTCCCTAGACGTACTCTCTTACAAGAAGCTCTACTGTTATTAAAATACGCCGTAGTGAAGGGCTATTGAGTGAATTCCCTGCCTGTAACAGTAGAGCTCTTTGTGAAAGAGTTGGCCCAGTTAAATACTACCACCTTATCTATTTCTGCCGCCAAGCAGTAATGTCACCATTACTGCGCTCCGGTTTGGAAGGGTAAGGGTGCTGGTGAAATTACAGGCACATGGGACTTGTCAACTTAAGTCTCAGGATGACGGGTGCAGTGACAGTGCCCATAAGATCTTTGCGATTTAATGCTCTGAGTGGCACTGCAACTGTTATGGATAGGCATGTCGCTTACCACCAGGCGCACGACTTAATCGTGCCGTCACACTCTGTGTCGATTTTTATATCAAACGTAAGAAATAAATGTCTAAAGATTGCACTTAAACTCACGTACGTTACGATATAATTATTATTTGGCGCAAAGAGCAAACCGATGCTTGATGACAAAGATGATGAAAAATTGATGCACTTCGCAACTGACAGTAATAATAATACTTATGTAATAATAATATTAATTTGGGACTGTAGTGAAAATGCCTGGTTGAGAATTCTTCTTGAGCTTCTTGGTCTTGCTTGGATCGCGGTCAGATTTGGAAAGCCGTCCTGCCAACGCTCCGTCTTTTATATTGTTAGCCTGCCGTACCGCTCGCACTCTTTTGTAGTGTGCGAGCGGGACGGCACCAATGTAGGAGCGGGACGGGAGAACTATAAATATTCCAAGCAAGACCCGCCTGCCTCTTTTTTTTTACCACAAATTGTACATAACATAATAAGAACTTAACATAACATAATAAGACTTACAACTAATATGTACAACAGTTAATTACAATAGCAAATCACAATTACAAACTTATAAAATTACGTGACAAATCACAATGGGCGCGAACACATTTTCGTCCTTAACATAGCTACTCAATATTTTTACGAGTGATGTGATACTTTATTAGCTAGTCTGTATATATTTTTAAATACCCACATTTTGAAGTGTGAATAGGCGTTATTTAGGTGTTCGTGCTCCATCGTCGGCCTCATTCCAGTCACAGTCACTTTCCATCAGGTGAGATGGAGGTCAAATATGCACTTATATATCTTATAATATAAAAAATATATGAATGAATCAAACCCCATTTGTTTTCAGGAGCTATGGATAGCAGCTCTCCTAGGCGACAGTACGTTCGGTATTTGCGGCGGTACGGCCTTCGGCTGGGCGGTACTGGCCGGCGACAAAAGCCACAGTACCGACTTACACTCGCTTACGGCGCGCGCAGCCGCAGTTAGTCGCGATCATGCGAAAGTTATCAACTATGCTAGAATATATGGTAAGTTTGTATTTAATTTGCTGCCTTCTAATCATCATCGACACATGTACAACTGCCTCCGTGGTTGAACTGTTACCAGGCTAGACTGCCACGCAGGAGTCCCGAGTTCGTTTCCCGGGCCGGGAGAAATTCGGGTGTAATTCGAGGTTGTCTATGTGTGTGTCCATGGCAGCAGCGATACAAGGTTTCCCTAGTGAGGGGCTATGAGTGTGTGCGTTATTATTATTATCATATCCTATTGCGGAGCACGGGTCTACTTTAAGGAGAGGGTTAGGGCCTAAGTCCTACACTCTGGACCGATGCGAGTTAAGAATGTCACTGAATCTGTTGTTGTTGTTGTTGTTTTTGACAATAGTTTTTGTAATGATCTCGTTCTGCCTCGTTAAAGGAAGTGACCGAAACGGATAAAATTCAGAGGTGCAAAGACTTCCTATATACGAGGCGAGCGTTCCCTTGACTATGCGTTAGGACTGCTTATTTGCAGTCGTACTATCGTTTAAAAATGATCTACGAGGATTTTTTAATATGTAATAATAATAATAATTTAATTTCACATAAAACACGCGCACACAGTGGAAAACAGATTTTCTTTTTTATTTATTGATCTCATTAGCCCAGCAGTTAGCACTGTGGACGTTAAATGGGAAAGATGATAAATGAGATTACTTGCTTAAATTGATTGCTTCCCGAATGTACACAACTAAAGTGCACAGAAGTGTACAGAACTAAAGTGCAAAAAAGTGTACAGAATTAAAGTACATAGAAAATACAAAAAACTAAAGTGCGTCAAAGTGTACTTAACTAAAGTACAAAAAGGTGTGCAGAAATAAAGTTCGTAGAAATATACAGAATTAAAGTCCACAGAAGCGTACAGAACTAAAGTGCAAAAAGTGTACAAAACTAAAGTGCACAGAAGTGTACAGTTCTAAAATGTATAGAACTAAGTGCACAGAAGTGTACCGTACCAAAGTGCGAGTACTGTGATATATATGAATGCAACTAAATTCGGTTATTTACTACATTCATTGCTATGCAGATGATAGCACAGTGCACGGTTGCTATTATAAGCAATCGTCAAGCACCCGGGAGGACCCTGAGAGAAACCGGGAAAAACTTGTCGATGAGCTCAACCATGTTTTGGAACATATATCGTCGTGGGGCTCCCGAAACTTGGTTGAGTTCAACGCCAAGAAAACCCAGGTAAGCGCGTTCAGCTCCAAAAAATCCCCATTCCTACCACTTCCCCATCTTCAGGGTACAACGCTGACGCTGCAGGACAAGCTCAGCCTGCTGGGGATGAGCATCCGGAAGGACATGAGCAACAAAGATTATATCAAGAGCGTCATCTGTACCGCGTCGCGCAAGCTTGGCATCCTGAACAAGGTGCACCGATTTTTTACTCCAGAGCTGCGATACCTGTTGTATAAAGCTCAGGTCCGAAGCAGCATGGAGTACTGTTCGCACCTTTGGGACGACTCTGCCAAGTACTTGCTCGATGACGGACCCTAGATGGACTGCAGCGCTACGCCTTCCGTGTTGTCAACGATCCTCATGTAACTGAGCATGCGGAGTCGTTACAGCTTCGCAGAGATATAGCGTCTCTTAGCGTATTCTATCGCCTGTACCACGGTGAGTGCTCTGAAGAGTTATTCAACCTTATCCCTTCCTCTCCTTTCCATCAGCGGACCACCCGTGCCGGACTGCGTTGCCACAGATGGGCGGTCAGTTCAATACCGTCCCGCACTAAAAAGTTTGGCAATTCGTTTTTATGCCGAACCATCAAATTGTGGAACCAACTCCCGGCGCATGTATTCCCTCCCCTCTATAACATCGGATCCTTCAAACGTAGTGTGAAGAAGCATTTGGCCAGACCGGCAAAATGATAGTGACGGAGTGAAGATATTTGTGTTTTCCATCCGTTACTCTCATCTCTGGACTGTATTCGCACTTTCCACCAGGCGCGGTGCAGTCATTTTGCCGAGTCACAATAAAAAAAAAAAACTAATTCTAGCGGATTTCTTTTTCCAGGTGCCGGTCAGAATTTCGCTGAACGTCTTTTAAAGCAGTTTAACCCGACAATGACGATATCTGAAGCCAAGAGTAAAGCTGCCAAGATGTTCACCAGCACGAAGGGACGGAGGGTGTACACCCTGCGACGCCAATACATGCAGGGTTTCATGAGCGAAGATGATGAGAATGAGGTAAGATGGTTTTATTATTTTAGAGTTTAATAGTGTATACTACCTTAAACGGCTTTGGTTGATTCCGCATAACACTTTCAAGTGTTGAATCCATTGACTTACAATTATATGGACGTCGGGTCCGCGCTAAAAAGTGTCCGCACTTGTAAGGCGCTAAAATCGTATACGGAGCGCTAAACTCCGCTTTAGTCTTCATTTGTTCTACTGACAGCGCGATACTGCGATGCCATAACAATTTAAATTTCGAATAGGTTGACTTGGGACATTTTTTTCGTGGTTTTTGTATTAGACCCGTCGTCCATTTATTTGTAAGTCAATGGTTGAATCAATCAGTTTAGAAAAAAATATATAGTAAAATTTGAGGATATACACTGATTAATATACGGTGTGAAAACACGATTCCTAAACATTTTCACGATAGAAAAAAACACAAACTTACCTCGAAATTTTACAAGAAAACCACTATATTCAATAGTTACTATACATACACCGTGACATTTTAGTGGTTGTTTTCCCGCAGCGAAATGATTTTGCCATGGACGTATAATCGACGAGTAATATTTTTTTTTATTAATTTTAAGTAACGTCGGATTTAGACAAGCATCGAACGAAACTCGAAAATTATCTAACACCCGTAGTAGCACTGCAGTAGGTAGTACTACTTTCATTCGAGTAAATGAAACAGTAGGTAGTACCTACTGTCATTCGAGTGAAACAAAATAACGTAAGTGACCCATTTTTCCTTCATACTTTTACGGGCTTAGGACCGTCATAAATACTTATTACGTGCAGTTTACGGATCATTAAAAGTAAAAAAGACATGTTTAGATAGATCACGTTTTAAATGATCGTATTTAAGGCGTATTTAAAAAATGGAATCAACTTATTTACAATAATTATTAAACCGCCTTACCTAATTTGTATTCGTCCCGTATTTACACTTAAACTTCCCGATAACGCAATAATTGTTCGAAATGCAATCCGCCACGTTCAATGCACAATCTGGCACGTTTAATTTGATTGTTTTTTAACGATATTATAGTCGTCACAAAATAATAGATCATATTTGACACATGTCATCGCAACGTAAATAGTGATGTGAACTGCAATATCGGTAACCAGTTTAAACGATTCTCACGAGAAATCGATTAAAAATTTTAGGAGTTTGTAATCGTTTAGGTTATTTTTCTGTTCATTGCTTTTCAGTTCTAGATATATCAATCAACATTTATTTAAACGTTATACAGTTTAATAGAAATAATAAGTAAGTATTTTAAGTGAGCACAACGGCAACCTGTACTTGTTGTTGTATTGTAGTTATACATTAGCATAGTTCACGAGGATAACCTGTACGTAAATAACAAAATTCTGAAGTAAAACAAAAGACCTCCTTATTGGAATTTTTTATTTATCAACGTCATCGGAAGATGAACCAAAACCATCTGTTGAGCTAGTTTCACCAGTCCATATAATTAACTCGTTTTCAATTAAATTATCAATATTAACATCTCTGTCAAAATCTTCTTTTATTAGTTTTCTAGTTTTTTCCACCACCTTTCTCCAGTCTTCCTTTGTTACTTTAGTACATGCTTCCTTTAATAAAGTCATCATTTTTTTTGTGGAGAACGGTGGCTTAGTATTATTACGTCCTGCGTAGCCTGTAAAAAAAAAACACTGTTGTAAAATAGTAATGTTCCTTCACAGTGATATTACAAATTCGAAAGTTTATATGGGAACCTCTTTACATTTGTACTTTATTAAAATATGCTACTAGTACAAAATAAGTCTTAATATATACGAATTTAAAATAACAGTATTAAATGCAAAAATATTAACCTTTAATTTGAGCCCAAATCAACTCAATAGCATTGTATTGACAGTGGTACGGCGGTGTCCTTATAATTTTATGTCCATGCTCAAGTGCCAATTCATCAATTTCATACCTAAGTTTTGTAGGTCTATGCTCTCGCACTAATCTTAACAATTCCACTTTCAATAGCTCCATGTCAGCTTCGACACCATTCCTCTGTAGCCATGCCACCAAATCAGCCTTTTTATTTGCCTGAGTCGGCGCTCGATCTATTTGAACCGAATGATACGATGCATTGTCCATAATTATTGTACATTGTTCGGGGAGGTTCTGAAGTAAAGTTTTAAACCACTCTTTAAATTTGTTTGCGTCCATTTCTTCGTGATATTCTTTTGTACTTTTTGATTCAAATGCTAGTAAAGCATTATTAACGAAACCTCCCCCGGCTGATCCAGCATGGCAAATTATGAGGCGACCACCTTTTCCCATTGGCACTTTCGAGCTGGATGCTTTAGTGTCGTCGGTCCATGATTGTGGTACTGTGTGGTTTGAGTTCAACCAAGTCTCATCGATAAACACAACATTATCCCAATTTGTAATTTTATTCATTTCTCTCAAAAATGAAACTCTTTGTAATATTAAATCATGTCTTTCCATCATAATATTTCTTTTGTCAGACTTCTTGTATTTAAAACCAATTTTTTTCAAAATTGTAATCAGTGAGGTAGCACTCCCAGTAAATAAGCCAAGCTCTCGAAGTGATACCAACAATTTACTCACAGTAGGGTACTCGTGTCTAGTATAATATGTATAAACATGGTTACGAATAGCGTCTGCATCGAACGTGTCGATACCTGTTACAGGCTTGCTTTTCTTCCTCTTTCTAGGCGTATGTAATACGTTTTCTTGAGAGCCGGAAGGCCCATATTTTTCTTGTATGATGGTGTGTACCGTTCTTTTGCCGATTCCAAGTGCACTTGCGACGCGATTTTGCACTTGTGTCACTGGTAATAGAGGTCCACCATTAAGTGACTCCCTTTCGAAATAGTCGTGTAATTTCACAACCAGTTCGCGAGTCTGGCTATTTAAAGCACGTCCTCTTTTCGACATGTTGAAAAAGAGTTCACACAGAATCAAGTCCAAAATATCCAAGCCAAGGTCAACGAGATTGAAAATAGAAGTAGTCCAAAAGCACAGCCGAGTCACAAGAAAAAACACCACGAATAACCAAGCGTACAGTCAACTTCCAAGACGGCGAAAGACTGCGCGGGCGCCGATGCAGAGTGACGCTAAATCGACATCAGTGTTGCCGTTTCAGAATTTGCGATAAAGAAAAGGAAATACAAATCTGACTTTACGGTTCTGTCTACTATAAATACTAGTATACTCAGTCTAATTTTGTAAGCACTTTAAAATTTTTGTTTTTGTAATTAAATAAGTCATTTTTTTAAGTGAAACCGATTTGACTCGATGATAGTCGGCGCGTATTGGTTACAACATTATTATTAAAAATAATTATTTCTTTGTAGACTGAAGATGTAACTGTTTATAAGACGTTTCGGAGTAACCCAAAATTGGATTTTATTTTGGAATTCCTGCGAAAATAATACTTGAAA